CATTTTTTTTTTTTTTTTTTGATAATCGCGATGTCCGGGCTAGCTTGCGCGCACCTCGACTAATTTCACGGGATACCTGCCAGGTACCAGGTAACTCTATCCACCAAGGCTTGGATAGATGGAAAGAAATCACCTAGTATTTGCCTCCGTTGAGATTTGAACCTGAGACCGGTTCTCACCCGCTTCATTGGCCACTAGGCCACACCTAGGTGCACATACCGTGCAATTTTTTGAGTTATGCAATCAACCCTGCTTGAGCCACTATAGACCATCCAGAAAGCTGTGAAGAATTATCTTACGATTGCAAACAGTGACCCATCTGTGTGGCTATACAAAAAACAATGAGAAAAGCAAATGAATGTCACACAGAACATTTTCAGTAGCAATTTATTGTTCCTGTGCAGCGAACTAATTCGTCGCATTTTGCCAAAAGCTAATGTCCTGAGACAAATGCAAAACATGAAAGTAAAAACATTGCAGCATTTCCAAGAGAATGTGAAGCATTGAACCACTAACACATTCACAGTAAGGGTAAAAGCAAGTAGTGACATCAACATCATGAAAAACCATACCGAATCCTTTCTTCTCAAAGTATCAATAGAAATAGTGAGGACTGACTTACAAATATTTCCTCTGATGTTTATCCGGTCGTCAAATCTACTGTTTGCAGCACTTCTCTAAAAACGTTCTGGCAATTCCCAAACCATGAAAAAATGAAGATAAAGACCAAACAAGGAACCACCAAGCAAAATGAATCTTGAAACAGTTACAAATTTATAAATGCTGTATTTTGGAACTCAACTTAAGCATATATGTATGCGCATATCCTAAAAAAGGGCTTTTTGCACAAAAGAGGCTTACCAATCTTCTATTAAATGGAATTTACTAAAACTGAGATTGATTAACGGATGGCCTTAAACGTTCCAGTATCTTATAGATCCTCATTCAGTGCTCTATCCTTTTTTAGACGCAAGTTATAATGACTTTAGCAAATAGAATCAAGCACAAACAGACTTTGCTTTCACCCTCCCTAGAACCAATGGTCCTTTAGCTTTGTTTCGTAGTTCATCCTCCCTCCAAAATATCTTCCTTCCTGGGATCGTGGTCGCGTGCTTATCCAGAGCATCTGCGTCCCATTTTCCTCTCTGAAGCAGTGGAGAACTTGTATTCCTCGTTGAGCTACCTAGTCTTGAATCAGCTGTACTGCCTTCTTGAGCTGCCAAGGAGTCTTTGCTTTACCTTGAATCATTTGGACCACAATCAGAGAATCCATCTCGAGGAGTGAGGCTGCTAAAAGGTTGATCACCGCACTAGCTGATCCCAAATAGAGCAGACTGAACTTCACCACTTGGGAATGAGATATTGACCTCCTTGAAGCCAAAGAACAAGAGGCTTTGTTGATGGCTCATCAACTGCCTCAAAGAACCAAAAAAAAACTTTTCTCAGATTCCTCATTGACAATGATAGTCTACTGAACCACAAAGTTTAAAAAATCGTTATAAAACAGGAAAACCAACATAGTGTTTTCCTTCATCAGGCATTATTATGTTTTCAATCTACTCATATGAAGGTGATGCATTATATTATATTGGGTTAATACACATTTTGCCCCAACTTACACAGAAATGCTTTGATTTTGTTAACACTAACTTGCCTTAGTTTGAGATATTACACTCACCTCCATTGTGAGAAAAAACCAAAGGCATGAATCTGTACCAACGGTTGGAGCCTTGCACCAAACGAATAAAATGAGAAAAGTGGAATAAAAGCATTAAAAAGTATGAACAGAGAAAGATATTTGTACAAAATTGGCCATTCCCCTCCAACTATATATAGATCTTCATCCATCCAACTTTATACGTGAATATTCCGAGCCATGACTTCCTTTAGTATAAGTCTCAAACGAAGCTAAGACTCATCTGTTTCATTTTGTTTTTGATTGGTTAGAAGCTAAGGCTCTGATTCTAGTCTTTTTTTTTTTTTTTTAGAATTTTCAAGATAGAGTACAATCAAGGATCAAATAAATGATTTAACATAAATAAAAAGAAAGAAGTCCATAAAAAAAAAATCAAAGTTTGAAGTACATAGAATACTCAGAAATTGTCATTAAAAGAAGTACAAATCAATACTAGACAATAACCAAGACGAGTAATCCATAGTCTACAGAAGACGTGGCCATTGATGCCACTCATAAGCAAATAATCTGTAGTGCTGTGTTTTCCACCAAGGTTCTCCAAAATCATACACAAGTTGTGCAATATCCGTTTCCAAGTCATAAGAAATAACCTTGCCTCTTACTTCCAAATAAAAGATGTGAGGAACAGCAGGATGAATAACCATGTTCCGCACCTCAACACTAAGAGAGCCTGTAAGCCCGAAAGCCTTGACACGGAGAGTGTCGCCTCCAAGTCCAAATGCCTCCGGACATTGCATCACTGTAGCTGCGACTTCTGCATCGTACTTCCTAACCCATACTACTGCATCTCGACTACGAATATCGCTCTCGAGGCGCCACACGGTAATGGCATCCCCACAATTCAATGCAAAATAGAGAGCCCCACCAGATAATCCAAGATAACAACTTTCTCCGAACACCATCTCTTCAGGCAATTCCAAAGTCCAGAAACACTTGTAGACACTATCATAAAAAGTGATCTGTCCACCTTGATCAAGCCAACAAAATACTCCATCAATGACACCGGCTGCTGCAGCTGATCTAAATATCCCATCCCAATTAAAAGGGTTTAATCTAAGAGGTACATCCAGAGTTAAATTATTGGCAGTCCACACATTTGTCTCAGAAGAGAAACATTCTATTGTTACACTGAACTGTAGCTTATCAAAACGACGAGGTATTTCATAACGAACTATAGTAAAGGAGATGACGTCTTTATCAGAGTCGTCTACCTTACAGCTAAATCCAACAGCTGTGCCGTTCTCCATGCAGATTTGAGTTTTAGGCAAAGCCAAATGCTGCCTCGTAGCAGGATTATAAACATAATAAACCCTAGGGCTTCTTCTATGTTTAGTACAAAGAAGAAAACCATTGGATGATGCAACAATATATACTTTCCTGTTAAGAAAATTAACTGACTCGTCTAAATCAATGTTTTTCAATGATGATTCCTTTGATTCGGAGAAGAAGCCAATTTTGGAAAGTTTTCGGGTTTGATAAAAAATACCAATTAATTCGGGCTGAGGCCTCCATCGTCGTGAACGGCAGCTATAACTTAAAGATGAATCAGAAATGTACTTTCGCCAGCTCCTGGATACACATTTAAACCTAGCTAGAGATTTTGAAGGCAAACGATGTAATATTTCCATTTTGATATCCTCAGACAGCTCACGTTTATCACACAATTTCCGTAGACGTTTCACCATAATCACAATCAAATTCACTCAAATTTCAGAAGCTGTGGTTATAGAGTGAATTGAAACAGAAAATTAACCTCGGTTTCAATACAGAATTGTGTCGCCAAAATGAGATTTTTATACAGAAAAACAAATCCAAATTTCTCTGGAATTCGGAATTGCTAAAACCTGATTCCTCTGGGATTCAGCAATTTAATGGGAATCGGAATACTCAAATCCAAATTTCTCTGGGATTAGGAGCCCCTAGACGATGCAATATTTCCATTCTCTTTTTGCTTTTTAAATTACTTTTGGAATGTTTTCAATAGAAGATTCGTCTCAAATTATCTATCTCATTTCTAAAAATAATTAAATTTTCCTATTTTATCCATTATAATAAGTATTTTTGAAGATTGAGATAGCACAAAAAACAGAACAAATATTCAATAAAGAAAAATTATATCTTAAAGCACAATTAAGAATAAAATAGTCCAAAATCTCTTCTAATTAATGGTTTCTTAAGGACAATATAAAAGAGATATAAATGTAGGTTAGATTCATGAAAAATAAATTAAAATTAACAAATATTTTAGTTGGGACGGTCCTCTTATTAATTTACCTTATTGGACAATCTTCTAATCGTGAGATTGAATGGAATATTTCGATCTCCTTCCAGATCAAACGATGCTAACACCAAATATATCACTTTTTTTTCCCTATTACAAATTATTTTAAACCAAAACAAAAGAAATTATGGGTCCATTAATTAATTATTTGTCTAAATTTTCTTTTGGGTTGGTGAGATGTACTAGCTGTTATTTAAGAATTAGTCAGTACGTCATGAATTTCAGTTTTTCAGGAAAAAATGTCTTGAGTTTAAAAATTTTAGTTTAAAATTTTAGGACAAAATAAGTATTGGCTAATCTCTAAATAACGTCTTTGAGAATGACTATCTGTGCACTTGTCTGATGTACTAGGCCAAGGTTATTGTGCAACATACTTAAACAACGCTCGAAAATTCCAATAATAAAGATATTACAAAAGCTAAATTTCTATTGTATGATTAATGAGTCGCGAATTAAATATCAATTTGATAAAAATATATACTTCATATTAGCCGAAGGCAAGAACGGTAAGTTTCATGTCTAACACGATGTTTTTGGCTACGCCATGCAAAACTTCATTGAAAGGAATTAAAAAAAAAAGAAAGAAAAAGAAATGAAGAGAGGTATAATAAGGGTAGATAACATCTAGGAAGCCAAACAAAAAAAAAAGGAACAAAGAAGCAATTATTTTACTCTTTTCAAGTTATGATTACAAAAAAGAATCGCGTTTGCTCCACCAAATCAAAAGTTTAGATTGTACTAAGGCTATCCAACGGCCCGTCCGATCCCCTCCTAGTTGACTTAAATCTAAACGGGATGGGCTCATGTTAAACGGTACACGGAATGGGACGAGATGCCCATTTCATCCAGTTTATCCCGTCCCATTTATCCCGTTTAGTGAAACGTCTCGTCCCGTCTCGTCTGTCTCGCATTTTTTTTTTTTGAAATATAATCATCGGGCAACGACCTCCATTGCAAGTTTAGTCGTTCCCAATGGTATATTTTTAGAATTTCTGTTGTATTTGGTAATTATAAAACAAATCCAACTTATGCACCAGCCATTAATGAAGTGATTGCAAAATTTAAAAAGTATTTTTTCCCTATTCCCCAAGTTTATTTAATTTCTACTCTACTTAACCCATCTTTAAAATTAAGAGGTGCAAAGGGACTTGTTCGTACAATTTATGAGAATTTAGCAATTCAAGAAAATGAACAACCATCTCTCGAATACTGCCAAACTAACATATATTCTTATGCTAGATCAGTGCTTGATAAATATAAATTTATGGAAACAATAGGTGGTGAAACTGCTCCTTCTACTTCTAAGGTTAGAGTAGAAATTCTATGGGAAGGTATGGATGATAGTTTTGATTCCTGTATTGATGATGAACTTGATTCTTATCTTAATCAAGGATTGGAAAGTATTAAAGACGAAGAAGACAACAAACAACTTTTGGCACGGTGGAGGGAGCGTGGCAAGGCTTTTCCAACACTTTCAATAATGGCCTGAGATATCCTGGCTATTCAAGCATCATTAATAGCATCGGAGAGTGCTTTTAGCGCGGCAAGATTTTAAATCGGAGATCATAGACATTCATTAGTGGAGGACAACCTAGAGATTTCCGTATTATTTAGAGATTGGATTAATTCAGAAAAAAGAAATCTTAGTTTTGAAAAATTAACCACTAGGGAAGAAGAAGAATACAATGAGATACTTAACACTAGGAGTGATGCCGACATGAAACTCATGGAACATCAATCAACATTGCCAATTTCAGAACAATGTCCGAGAGAAATTATAGATAAGTTACAACGAAACTATATATGAGCTTACAAATATTAGTATGATAATTTGTAAAGAGGCCTAGTTCAAACAGAACCCTTCCTAGAAGCTGGCTGCGTAGATTAGGTGTTATTCAAAAATAATTATATTTGTATGTGAAATTTAAAAATTCTATTAATAAAATAAAAGTCTCTAAGTCTTGAATTTTTTTATGAATAGTCTTACACTCTTACTTAGTTACTTAATGGCTTGAAATTATATTAAATAAATTACAACTCTATTTTAATTCCTAAATTATTTCATTACAAGTCTTTTGTTTTAATATTTTATAAATCTTCACTTAGTTTCCTAATTTTCTTATAATTTATTAAGTTTTAATTTTATTAAATAAGTCAAAAAATTAGCCGTTGCAAATTTTAAAAACTTAGTCATTGTCAAAAAACTAGTCGTTGCCAAACTTAATGCTTAAATGAATAATTTTATTTTTTTAAAACGGCCTACTTAAGGCCCGCGAAACTATCCCGTCCCGTCCCATTTGTTAGCGGGATGGGATGGGCCTACCGTTTTGTCCCGTTTATCCCGTCCCGTTTAGGCCCATCCCGCCACCGTCCCGGTTAAATATCGTCCCGTCCCGTTTATTTGGTCCTATCTCGTTGGACAGCCTTAGATTGTACCGAGTTCCTAATGGATTTCTTACTTAAAAAAACTCGGCTAATCACCAATAAGAATTATGGTGGCTTGGTAAGTACTCTTTTATCCTTAACCAGAGGTCTCGAGTTTGAGCCCTGGGTATGGAGTTGTCTTTGTTAAGGAACACTTTACCCCCAATGTAGGACTTCGCGGCGCGAATCCGGATTTAGTCGGGTCCTAATATGAATACCGGACACCGAATGAGAAACTAAAAAAAATCGGCTAATCTTAAATAACTAGCACACACAAAAAATTGCACTAGCTCGATCTGAAAACTTAGTTTTATGTTTTTTTATTTCAATTTCATAGTTATAACTAAATTTTAGTCTGCAATGCATTTTTAATCACCAGAAAACTATCATATATTTCAAAAAGTTATAATTAATATTCAAGAAATTTATTATTTTCTTGTATTCATTATTTGGCCTTTTAATTAATAAAAAGGGTTCATAATTTCCTTGTATTGACAGTAAGAATGCAATAATTCTCCTTTTTTATTTTAATTTTTTAATTTCAATTTCCTCAGTTCTTAGTAGAGCTTTGCCTAATATTTTAGGACTTTGAATTAAATCATTCAAATATTTCTATTAGTAAATAAAATATATGACAACAAGATCAGATGTTGTGGATTACAAATGCATGGCTAACATCTCGTTAATTTGAAATAACACTAACCAATATAACAAAATATTACTAATAGATATTATGATATGGAGCTGTAAGCTTTATGCCTCGTTAGATACTATAGCTATAAACTATAATTACGAAAACAACAAAGGTGACACTGATTTTTCATACATGAAATTCTATTTTATAACTCAATTGATCTAAAATCTCTCCCTAATGCAATGAGAGTTGGACAACCCGAACTTTATACAATTTGTATGCAAACAACCTATTATATGCAATTAAGTTAGCATGTACGTATGCAAAATACCTCTCCGATATGTGAAAAGGACTCATTTTCTTTATGTTCAGATTATGAATGCAAATTAAACTAATGCATATGACAAATAAATTGCAAGAATGTATACTATATGAGAGCATGACTCCTCCTTAAACTACTGCCTACGACCTACGGACTCTCCTATACGGACATCGGATCGTAGAGCGTAAAAAAAATACTAACATATCTACTAAATCGACTCCAAATCACACTATGGAGTCTCCTCCTTAGACCGTGTTGGGTGTACTCCTCTTCGTTGTGATATCAGAAGAGGTTCGGCTCGTATATGGTAGCATCCGACCAAAGCTCAAATAAGTCGCGACTCTTTAGTATGAGTTTGCTCTCGAGCACGTGGCAACAATTATATATATCCACTAATATTCGTTTCAGCTAGCGTAGCTGAAGACAGAAACTTCCATAAAAAGTGAAACGACTAAGATAGAATGATTAATGTAAATATGAAAGCTTATCGGAAAGTAATTATTTTCCTATTTTTGGGCAAAATAACTTATTGCTTGAATATATCAGTATTTTTTGTATTTGGGCAAAAACTGGGTCAACCAATATCTCATGTGTATTTCTAGTAAGTTATTGAAAACCATATTTCATAAAAAAAAATCATATGTTTTCATTCATTTATTGGAAACGGATAGAGAGATTGACCAAAAAAAAAAGAGGAACTTTTTTGGACCGGTCGTGCAATTGTCCACGAAACTAACAACATTGCGAGAATGGTCCCTATATGTACAAACTCGCGTTTAATAATAAATTCGGACCAAAAATACCATAAGGTTTAGCGGCAGAGAAGGCAACAGAAGCAACCAAAATTGGTGAATTGTGACATGGACAAGATATAAAAATAATTGGTAGGATTTGTTGTATTCTACCTAGCTATCATATTACATAGCTTACAAACTTTACCAGGTTGTCGTAAGAGGAAAAAATACGTTAACAAAACGGTAAGACTTCATGTTTTAGTCAAGCTAGCTATCTTATTGAATAACTA